GCTGCATCTCTGACCTCTACAGGAGATTTTTCCTGCTAAATGCCATCTTTATCTACGGCCATAAAACGGCCTTAAAATGCGGGTACGCTGAGTTTCGCTCAGTTTATTGTGAAACCTTTTTAACATCTATCTAGGAGTGCTTGTCTATTTCTCCTAATTGCACTATTAGAGCAACCTGTAGCTGGAGCACTGCGGTTTTTAAGCAAAAAGAGGGCTAATCTTATAAGCACAGTCCAAGTTTGATGCAAATCAATGGGCCACCAGTCTCTCTCTTTGTTATTAGGCTTAGAGTCTGGAAATTAGGGTTTATGGCAAAGTTAAGACCTTTGGACAAAAAGTGACTCTTAATTCGATTCAATTTAGCTTATTTATATGGAGCCAATTCACAACACGTCATTTTAAGGCACTTTGCAGAGACGATACAGTCAGACTGGTTCAAGTTTCTATCAAGGAAAACCAGTTGATTGCATCCACTCCTTGATTTGCAAGACGTGCTCCTCCTGAAGAACCTCGCAGAGAGGGTTTTCACATTTTGTGAGTAGCCCTCACAGTACGGGTTACTGTAGTAAACTCCCGGATAGGTGTCTAAATGCTTTGAGTCCATTTTTCTCTAGGCAAACATCTACAAACATCCTAGAAGAAAATATAGTAGACCGAGTTCAAAGATAATCTAAATTTCTATTTGGGGTTGAAAGCTCAAGGATGTCTTTAAATACCACCAACATCAATCACCATCTTTTACTACAATGTCAGTAGAGTATAATTGAGCTTCTTTTCTGAAGAACCATAAAGCTTGTATACTTAACCTCTGGATTACTGAGACTCCATCATCCATGTGTTTTGCTCTCTATCATATTAAAAGCCATTCTGTCAATGCTATAGCTCTGTGGCGCTGCAGCACTACCAAGAACTCCAATCAATAATAGATCAGAGATGGGGATAAAGGCCAATGGACAGGCTCGTTATCCTCATACTGCAGCAGTGCATCGCAGTGAGCTTGTTCCAGATATTTTAGATTTATGCCCAATATTGAAGGTCTGGTCTGCACTTATTATTCCACACCACAACGCAAGAGAGACAATCACGAAATAGCTGTGGGTCTAGATGCAGGCGGTGAGGAAGTGGGGGCAAGTTTGTGCGGCAAAGGAGGGACATGAGGGCGAAAAAGAGCGGGGAACCAGGTGGGAAAAGGATCCCAGCGTTCTCAGGCACCTCGCTCTTCTAGCTGCTCCATCTTCATGAGTCGTTTTCCACAATGGCGGTCATACAAACAAAACAAGCTGGTAAGGTACCAAACAGGAAATACGCATAGTGTAGAGCCGATGTAGATTTGACCAATCAGAGGCCTCCTGTCAGCGATCACCTACAATTTTGGAGAGGTGCAGCAGAGTGTCTGCGGGAGGGGCGGGGCATATTTGCTTTCACTGCGACACACACTGGTTTCTGAGTATAAATCAGCCTTAAACCCGTGATGCTTCTGGCGTCAGGAGCCAGGACACGAAAAAGGAACGATTCAAAATTCTTCAAGGTTTTTTTTTTTCCCCTTTTTAAATCAGTCTTTAATTTTTAATTTTTTTTTTTTTAGATCAGATAGCCACAAGGAACTGAAAAACCTTTCTTCACAGCAAGCACAGTTTTCCTCTTACTATGGTGCCAGGAAACAGCAACACAGAGAAAAAAAAATCTGCCTTTTTTAAGAAAACTCAACCTGCTTACATTTTGGGGGGTAAATACATGAAGGAAAAAATAAAAATAAAAAAATGATTGAGGAAAACTAAACCTAAACACCAAGCATTTAAATAAGCCAAANTTTTGCGCCATATGGCCATTTGGTCGTTGTCACTGTAAAAAAAAAAAAAAAAGGCACTCGCAACTGCAAACTCCCAGTCTCTGTCTCGTCCTTCATGAGTTGCGTCCATCTCCTGAGAAAACCAGTCCATTAACCTTATTGGTCCTAATCCATTTACATTGATTTAAAATATAGTATATTATTAGCTTTACAGATAATGCTAAATGTATCTGATCTTTTTATGGGAGTCATAACAATATCTGCTTTTTCCCAATGTGACCCCGGCCAGTTGGCGAAGTGGTTCTGCGTATGAACGGCCAGGTCGCAGACATCTGACCTGTACGCCATCAATATTCAACAATAACGCCGAGAGCAGTCTTTATTTTCAACCTTCCTGAAAAGATTGTGTTGTTAACGGACTGGCTGAGGTTGGGAAAGAAACAGGGCAGGGCTATCGTCCATGTTTACTTCTATGAACAAGCACTCACTTGTGACATCACTGCGTCCTCTACTGCGTAAGCGGGACACTTTATTTGTGCGGTTCACACAGGAGATAACATACAAGTCGCATATACTGGGAAACGTGAACGACCACGCAAAAGAACTGAGCATTAATGCCTGCAGTGTGAACGTAGCCTTATATTCACTTATATTCTTTATTTGGACACCAAGGTTTGCAGAGAAGTCAGTGAAGCAGCGAACTGAAGGGTGAGAAACACTGAAGAGAGCGTGGTTAGAGTTTGGCCACACTGAGCTCCTGTTACATCATACACGCTAAACGGGACGAGCCAATCAGCTGATGGGGAATCCAGTTCCTTCCATTTCCAGCTGGCGGCAGCATGACATAAAAGTTGAGGCTTTAGCATCAGTCAAACACCCAAATGGAACAGTTTTCACACCAGACTTCTTTTAAGAAACGCAAATAATACCTGACACAGTTAATTACAATTGACTTTGGATGCTCTTCCTCAGATCTGGAGTTTTCCCGCGGAGGGAAGTACTTTAGGCCCAGCAGGAAGATGCTCGGTAAATGCTATCCACAATATTGGCACGAAGCAGAGACAGAGGATGAACGGGACCTGAGCGACTATGTGGCGATGTGAGCCGTGGAGGGGACGGAGACGAACTCGCGCAGGATGTTCTTGGCCGTCTCCAGGTTGTTCTGGGCGATCATCAGGGCTTTCTGGATGTCCTGGATGGAATAGCCTTGGGATATCAGGCATTCGATCTCACCGTTCAGGGCTTGGTTTCCAGCGACGGCGGCTGCAGCGCCCGGAGGGGGAGGGGGAGGGAGAGGAGGAGGAGGCGGCGAAGCAGACGAGGGGCCGGGAAGTTCAGGCAGCGGGGCTGAAAGGTCACGATTGAAAGGTCGAGGGCGGCGGTCAGAATTGGCTCGCCGTGGGAGAGGCCTGGGAGGCCGATCAGATTCAGCGAACGTACCTGGAAACCAGAACAGTGGAAATACTGAGCTGAGAAATACATTTTTGAAAAAAGTAGAACATGTTTTATGTTATTAAAACAATTTTACTTTAATCTAGAAAAAAACAAAACAGGC